TGGATTTTCTTCTGAAACATGTATCCATCATGCTAAAATTGAAATAGATGGTATGAGTATTCCATTAATTGAAGAAGATAGCAGGCCCGTGGGTGACTCTTCGAATCATAAAACCAGCTCTGGTAAAAATAACTCATCTAAGTCTGATCTATCAATAGAGGAGATCGCAAATATAATCAAGAAACTTCTTTCAAATGCCAAAGATAATAAACACCAAAAGAGTCATCATGAGATATTTCGCAACATAACTCCTGTACCTCCACCATCCAGAAGATTAAATGATGATATACCCAAAAATAGCAGAGCTAGCAAGAATAAGAAATATCCTAAAGTAGATTTAGGCGATGGGTGTGGAAAACTTTCAATCAAAACGCACCTCAATAAGATTTGGAAGTCAGTTCATTCTATAGAAAATGATATAGAGTATGGAATTTTTGAAAAACTTCGTATTATTGAGTATGAATTAAGTTGTATAAATAAAGCAAAGCTACCATGGATAAAATCTGAGACAGAGACTAATTCATTCAGCTCTGATTCAGAATCCATAGTTTCAGACTCGTATGATCTTGATCCGATAAAACCCTGAAAGAATCGTGTTCGCATTATAAAGAAAAATATTGTCTCTCCTATCCAAAAACATCATAAAAATAAATATGTCAACTGTGTCCGCATTCCAGAATAGTGATCCATCTAGTCAGAATAATTAAAAAATCGTTAACGGAAATTTATCAACCAATCACATCGTGGGTAGAATCAGCATAGAAGTTCGTGGAACATGCCAATAAAAGCTCATGATCTCATATTAACTTACATTTCCATTGATCTACGCTTTCACCATTACTATTTGGATTGAATTTTGATAATTCTTATAACATTTGATACGATAAGTTTTTGTATTAACATAATCACCACTACTCCAGCTACCTTCTATATTATTTCTTATATTTTCTTTTTTATGGTCATTATTGCATATAGGACAGAGTACTGATCTATTAAAATCAAAATAATTACTATATTTAAAACTATGTTTAAAAGTTAAATAAGGAAATCGCTCTAATACCATTTTAATAACATGTTGTTGTCTTTCTTCCGGGTCTTTAGGTAGAACAGAAATTGGGAATTGTCATTCAGATAGTGTAGATTGAATATTTATCTGCGGTACAAATAAAGTCTTTTCCTCAAAAGATATCTGTGTGAATTGAGTATGGATTTTTTTCCATTCTTTCATAAGATCATCGAGCCATGCAGTACTCAAATCACTTTTTAGTATATCTTGACGTAATAACTCTTCACTGACCAGCCTTTCCCGATCTGTTAAAAATTTATGATATTTTCTAGGGTCTTCTTTTCTTTTTATTCCATCACGATAGAAACGTATATCTCTTTCCAAATCCCTATGAAAACATCACATGATCCACCTATTTTTCTCAGTTTCTGTAATGATCGAAAATTCTTTGGGATTTATTTCATGTTCGATGGCATACTGATAAAGGTGATTTTTGTTTGGATCAGTCTTGGAAATTGAGGAGGTATAAATTTTATTTGGCAATACCATCTGAGTTTCCGGTAAACTGTCCTGTAAGATATGATCATCAGTATCCTTTTCGATTCGTGAAGATTCAGGCTTTACCCAGGGATCAAGCCCAGTCTCTTCCGTATATGCTCTATATAAGATCAAACGAATTTTATTAGTCAAAGAACTTGGTACTTCAACCAATTTAGCATACCAGTCCAAATATTCAGGGGTTAAAGCACAAAGTGACATTTCTCCGAAATAGGCTTTATTCATATTATTGTTTTATACAATCGCAAATTCAAATTAAGTATGAGTTGTGTCTTTATCTCACTTATACATCCTGTACATATCCCGAAATAGCAATTAAAAAAAACAAATATCGTTAATTAATGAAACCGGAGAATTTGCTATAGGCAGTCACATAGTGGCTACACCTGGATAACTTTACAATTTATTCTGTTATTTCAATTTCACACTTTCCACATATAATAAAATAGGATCCAGCTTCGTATCTACCTTTTATACTTTTTTCATCTTCATGATTTAGTTTACATACTGGGCATAATGACCCCTCAACAATTCCATAATAATCATTTTTTTCAGAAATAATTGTTTTATATAGATTAGAATATCGCAACAATATCTTATTACGAAAGTAAGCATGGTCATGGGTCGGATTATTTTGCTTTTCAGTTAAAATCTTCTTGAGTTGAGGCGTAGCTATACTTTCTTCACTCGTCTTGACTTCTGGTAAGATCTTAGTTTTCACAGAAGAGTTAGAGGTTTGAGGTTTGACTGGTGTACTTACCTCAGGCAAAATTTCAGTTACATGATTTTGACGTCAGACCGTCGTCGAAATTCCACTCATGTGATTTTCTATATTAGCATTATAATCAGAAATATTATCGATAATCTTTTGGATTTGATCGTTTGTCAATTCTGAAATAGAATTTGCACTGTATGCTTTAAGATACTTAATTTTATCAATTCCTATTTTTTTGAATAATTTATAAGTCTTTATAGCCCTTTGGGTTTTTCTACACAAAGTTTTACGCGAGATTTCTGGGAGCTATAATCCCATTTTCTTGGATTTTTTTTCACAGATGATAGTAAGGTGCTCTAATATTTTATCATAAATTATACCTTTTGCCTTTTTCTCGCCAATTTTGCCATTACTGTTTTTTATAAGATCATTATATTGAATTATGAATTCTTTTCCATAATTAATCCAGCATAAGGTTTCTTCCTGGTTAGCTTTTGTAGCATAATATTCAGCATTTGTTGCTTTATCAAATAATTGTGCCAAGTCGAGTAATGAGATTGTATCAGAATTTTGTCGATGGGCCGTCGCTGAAATTTCAGTCACATGATTTGAGGAAGCAAAGCTTCGAGCCTCCGACTCATCTGAAATAATGTTATCCTGAATGCCATCAGCTATCACCTGAGCGATATTCTCTGTTCCCTTTTTCTTGTGCGATTGGGATGTTTTGTTCAGGCTTTTATTTTGATTCTGATCCCAAAGCTTTTTCACAGTTTTCAGGTCCAGAGATTCAGGTGTCGACATGGTTGACGTTTCGGATTGAGTTAAGTTATTATGTAATCCTTGAAGTTTTTTTTCCTGGTTTCTTTCTCTTATCTCACTACTAATCCTTTTCTTGTGTATTGTTTCTAAAAATTCGAGGGTCTCAGCTGAATCATCATCGATAATATCTTGTGGTAAAGAGATCGTAGATATTTCAGGTTCCGTTGAAGATTCAGATTGTGTTGAGCTATATTCTATTTCAGGCAAGGGATCGGGAGTAATACCTTTCTCCTCATAAGAATGGCTCTCGATATGTGACGAAATATCTTTTGTAGGAGATGCTTCCTGTTCATTAGTAATAATCTGGATCTGTTTCTGTTCCAATTTCGTGATTCTATCTTTAAGCTCAGTATTTTCTTCTGCGATCTGTTCCAATTTGGCGATCCTGGCTTTGAGCTCAACATTCTCTTCCATAACCTGTTTTAAAAGCTCAGCATTCTTGGCTTCAAGCTCAGCCTTTTCGGCTTCAAGCTCAGAAATTCGTTGTTTTAGTAAATCAATTTCAGATTGCATGTTTTAGTGATAGATTGTATATCTTATTATTTATTTAAAATGTATAACTAAATCAACAAAAATTTTGGCAACGGGCCGTCGTCAAAACCACGTGCTGTACTTCGTACTGTTTTATTCATTGATATAATTGATGTTGTAATTACATGTGTTGATCTATATCTAAATTAATTTAATACAGAAAAACTATTATAAATGTAATTAAGATATTATACTAATTTCTTCTGGGGAACCTTTATTGGTGTATGAAAAGATGGTCGCGTCATTTCATTAATTAAAGTCACGTTGCCTTGAATTGTTTCACGTTTAGATAAGTTTTGAATATTTTTTTTGCAGATTTCGGCGGAACAGGTCATTATAGTCTTTTGTAGAAAAAAGACAAAAATTAGATTGTAAATAAAATCCAATAATATTATACATTATATACTAACTTTCATTTGAATAAGGCGTTCTATTGAAGTGGGAAGTACGCCAAGATCAGAACTATCTCGAGGGAGATAAAATTTCCCCAAAAGAATCATCCGATATATGGCCTCATATTTTAAATCCATAGCAAATAAGCGACATTGAAAACCTAATTACAAGAATGCAGGAAAATGCAAATTAGATTATAGACGTTAATGTTATTTTAAGAAATGCCGATGCAAATAACTTACCTTCCACCAGTAAACCACAAATTATTAAATCATTATTTTTTACTCCATCATCAATACATTTGTCAATTATATCCTTCATTTCGTTGCCTAATTTCACAAAATCACAGTCTTCCGAAAAGATTTTATTTTTATTTGATAAAATGAAATCGGCAGACTTTGTTTCCGAAGTCAACAAATAAAATTTATTACCTCTAATAGGCATATATACTGAAAAGTCAGCTTTTCGTCCCTGTAATATAGGGTCAAATTTACGTTTCCGATGTACAGATGCTTCCAAGTCATCGGTTGACCTGAAAATAATCCAATAACGTTTTAATAAATCATTATAATTACAATATAAGAGAAAAAAAATTGGGTCAAAAAATTACCATTCACATTTAAAATTAATGTTGCGGAGAAATGGCCTGATCACAGGTTCAAAAACTTCATGTACAAAGGAATCTTCTTTTAAACCTTGCCTGTACACTTCCGGTTTAAAATTATTTATTCTATAATATAGAAACTATATTATGTTAAATAAGTAGCGATAAACAATTCTTAAGCCTTACAGATACTCACATTGACTCGAACGTTTCTAGAATTAAATCTTCTTGATCATCGTCAAGATCCTTTTGCCATTTTCTCAATAGTGACTTGCATTTTCCAAAATCTTCACATGCAGTCTATTTAATAAATACGTTATTATGAATAATCACCATATTAAGATCATATCAGAAAAGCCATACCTTTGCCATTTTATAACACTGTAAAACGTCATCATTCGACAAATGATATGGAGCAAATTCATTTTTGATAGTATCGAAAATAATGTTCAATGATTCCGGTTCGATCATTGAAGAAATTCCATTTGTCACATTTTGTTCGAATAAAAATATATGATTCAACGAACTACAACAGTCATGAGAAGCATTTTAAAAAGGAACACAATCGAACGCATAAAAGACTTGAAAATTTAGAACTTACAGTATTTCAGCAACCTCTTCGATCTTATTCTCAGAAGCTCGTTGAACGGACATATCGCGATATTCTAACAATAAACTCGAGACATCGAGTGTGTCGATAACCCACTGCATTTATAAGGAAGAATTAAAATCTTTTCTAAATAAACCTAAATAAAAGCTTAAATGTTACCTTTTTTGCACCCTCACTTAATGAAGATTTCTTAATTCCTGGTCCCGTAAACCAATCATAAGTATAGTTGATTCTCTTTTTTATTTCAACAAAAGTATCATCATCTGGCTCATCCGAACTGGGGTGATAGGATTTGTCTGAATCGTTCCCATCGGATGTTCCAGATACAACAAGCTCATCAAGTGTTCCAGATACAATAAGAGGATTGTTGTGATCGTCTTCCATTAAATTCTAGAAGTAAATTCGTAAAATTAAAATAATAAATTCTCAATGGGTTCAAGTCCACGGTACTAACCTTTGCCACGCGTTTTGGGGGGCTTCCTTTCGCACACTCTAAAAACCGTTTTGTAAGACGAGAAGTGGTAGCATTTACATACGTTCCCATTTGTTTATTGACATTAGTGGTCAAGGTTAAGTCATATTCGTTCTATTCATAATAAGAACCGAAATCTATCAGTTTGTATTTTGCATAAATTAGTGTATGTAGTTTACAAACCTCTTCAGTTTTTATTTTGTCATTAGTTAGCTCTTCGTTGATTGTCATCCAGAATTTATTTATACGCTCGGAAAATCTTTCATTCTAATTATTAGAAAACAAAAAACATTAATATTCCTTTTCTAAACTCTTTTCGTTTTGGCAATAACATGTAAGAGCGCCCAAGGGAATGCGTAATCCACTATCACCAGCCAATACGTAATCAGCCAGCTACTTAAGGGTTGTCAATACGCCACGTTGTTGTCTCGAGGACCGGAACGTATTCTAGCTCTTAGTTCAAGGACGCCGAGGGAATGCGTAATCCACTATCACCAGCCAATACGTAATCAGCCAGCTACTCGGAGGTTGTCAATACGTCACATCATTGTCTCGGTGACTGGAACGTATTCTAGTCCTTGAACACACGAAATTGCCCAATTTCAATTTGTTAAAAGAGCATAAACTTAACTTCAAGAGCGCCCAAACATTGTCTTGCCTTTTTTGCATAATTAACGCATCTACTTAGTACTTCTAATGCTTTTTTGTAATCCAAGTGCTCCTTCGCCTTTTCATATGAAAAATCTTCTCGTTTCCGCCTGTATTGTAAGTAGTTTATTAGCGACCAATTTGATGTTTTCTTGAAAAAATCCGTTGTGTCTTCCATTAGTGATTAAGTTAGAAAGCGACGCGTGGATTTCTACAACCTTCTATAGCACATATCACATGATAATCTAACCTGAACGTTACACAAAACTACGTATTGCCCAAAATTTCAGCGACGGCCCGTCGTCGAAAAATGCCAAAATTATAAGATACTAACAATTTTAGCCACTTTATTACTTTTTCAAACTCTCCTCGTTTATAGGTTCCAATGGTTGACTACCTCCTGCATTGGCCATACTAATATCACTATCATTTTGTGATGCAGATACAGTATATTGGATGATAATCCGTGCGTATCATTATGGGTCGCATTATTATTTGAATTCCCATCCGCACTATTTGCGTTATGGCTTGAATTTTCACCCGCATCATTTACATTACTCGCATTATCTCGATTAGTAGTTTCATCTCTTCTGCTGAAAACTCTTCGGGTTGGAGATGCGGATCGATCCTTTTGACCAGCGGGAGATTCACGGCGATTCGTATTTAGCATTGATGAAACTTCCTCAATGGATGGCGCTGGTGTTATATTTCCCACATCTCTATTTCGCCTACGGTTTGAGGTATTGATAGTACGGATTCTATCAAATTCATCTTCAGGCCTCTTCCAAAAATGCGTACGAAACTCATCAAAGTATTGCGCACC